AAAACTGCTTCACACAAACAAGAACAAGATCCGACTCGACTGATCTTTCATGCACTTCATCAAGAATTATAACTTTGTACTTCAATGCATGCGATCCCTTCTCTCGCATTTCATCCAACAAAACTCCAGCAGTTTTGAAGATAATTTTTGACCTGTGACAGAATTTAGACATGATAACTCAGCACTGAGCATTAAGAAATAATGCAGGTAATGAAGTATACCAAAAAAGGAAGAAAAACCAAGAAGTAACCGCAAATATAAGATGATCATAGTTTCTTTATATGGTGAACCATTCAAGGTCCATGTCCCCAGCTGAAATCAAGTCAAACTGAACAGGGACTGAAATTCGACTAACATCATTAATCACAACTTTTGCTGCCATACTTTCACTTATGGTCTGTTTGGCTAGATGTAAAATATTTTCTTTAGGATGGAGTGTTCTTCTGCCAACAAATGACAGGAGTTTCGACTTCGTCAATGGATGTGTTCTTTTTGAAAACAACTACAGTTCCTCATTTAAGGGAGTTTCCTACATTGAAATGGGGAAAATTATTTCTTGCATAAAATATTTTCACCAGTTCTAAGGCAACCAAACACCACAAATTGTGGAAAACATTTTCTGGAAAATTTTTCAGTCTAAACAAACGCACCCTAAATGTTATAACACCACAATTGGATTCCTGCAAAACATACTTAAGTTGAAAGAAAGTCCCACACGTTTAAACAGATAACTATTAACACCATATACTACTTGAAAGCCATAAACACTAGCTCGAAAGCATTTACAGAAGAATTAGATCTCTCTGGAAGAGCTAATTTTTTTGCTAGGCATATGGATTATAAACCTGTTTCGATCAAACTCAAGCAATTAAAACAGCCATTGACACAATCAAACTTATTTTTAAGTAGCTTATGTGATCTTGCTAGCAACCACCCAAGTTGTCCAACATACTATATAATGACTTCAGTTGACTTCCACTATCCTGCACGTAGGCTCTCTATTTCATCATGCCGCTACACTAACAGTACATGAAACAACTATGAAGGATCGAGGATTTTTTGCACTCAGGTGCATGAATGCTAAAACAAAGTTGTACCCCCATAACAGGAACAAATGGCAAGTTACTTTACCAACTCTTTTCTGTGTCATGCATGCATATTTGTTTCTGACTTTGCATCCTGAATAAAGCAAGGGCCTGATATCAATAATTTTCCACTGAAAAGAACATGCAGGCTCAGTAGTTGTTTTCATCGTACGCATGCCATGGCCATTTCTTCTACTCAATGTTATTAAGGAGGTTTTTTTCTTTTTCTTTTTTCTATAAAGTAACGCTTCATTGTGAGACTTTCCAGTAAAGTAGGATAGCAAAGCATTTGTTGTCTTATCATATAGTTTTTTTTTCCCACTTTAAGTTTGTTCTCTTTCTTCTAGAAATTCAGTTAAAAGGGATGTTAATTGGCTCGAAGGACTTCTAGCAGCGAACTTGTAAAGGAGAATCCTGTATAAAGCAGGAGGTACCAGCCAAGGGTAGGCTTAAGAAAAAGATTATCAGCAAAGGACAGGCAATATACAGCCTGAACAACAGCATATTAAGATCTACGGATATATTTACTACAAACTATTTAGAAGGCTTAAGCAACTACAAAAAAAAAACCGGTGAGGTTAAATGCCGTACCTTGCTGAGAAAACCTTTGAATGACCTATATGATATCCAATCTCTCCACCAACTTCGCATTTCCGAGCCTTTGCAACCATGCTGGCAACTGCAACAACGGCAAATCTTCTTGGTTGTGTACAGAGAATGGGCTCAATGTTTTCTTCCAGTAAGAACTGGGGAACTTGTGAACTCTTCCCTTTTTACCAAAAGCAATGTATAAAACAAATATCAGATACATTTATGAGAGGTGAAAAACCACATGCATTGACATAAACATCAGCATTATGCTCTTTGATTTTCCTACATTACTATTTGTAGGCTCAAAATATATCAAAGACAAAGCCAAAAAAAATGAAATAAATGTAGACAATTTTTTAATCCACGTAGGAGATGATCATAACAGTAATATGATGATGCATCAAAAAGCAACTTGCAGAACTTACGTAAAAAATGTCATGGGATCACTCGTGCGAAAACATAAGCAACATGTTTTCAGAACCTTTAAATGAACTATAGACCAACATCATAAAATAGGAGATAAATAAGATATTAATAATCGAGTGTACTTCTAAATAAGTGCCAGAATTATTCCATAAAAGCTGTTCTTCTGACCTATATTCACTTAAATCAGAACTTTGAAGCAAGATTTTCTTCTGATTTAATATATACCACAATTTGGTTACCAAAGCAAAATGAAGTATCTGAAGTAGATGTAAATCATGGTTTCTTAAACAATTTTCTTCATCCTGCATAAAATGCGAAGTCATAGAATTGGAAAACATTACAACCTGCATCTTTGAGATTGAGCACCAACATGGAAAAATATAGCTGCCTGCCACCAGAGGACTGTTGGAACAAGTCAACACTACCACGCATTGTATGTCTTTGAGGTAAATATATCATGTTACGTTGTGTTTTTCTACCACAGATTCCTTGATTTTTAATTTTTAATTTTTTTGCCACCGATGATCGTGCGCTCTTCTGTACCCATTCCACCTACTTAGGCTTATGTTGGAAAAAAGCTAACAACGCATTAACCTTCTTTAATGTTGACCGAATTCATGAATCCAGCAGAAACTCAGCACTGTGCTGCGACAGTAGAGGTATATTAAGTTTAAATTTCTTCTTTAATGCCAAGACTAACACGCGCAGGCCCGCATGCAAGCAGTTTGAAAAAAATAAAACATGAAGATTATGTACAAAATATGAATGTAACTCAATTGCTTCTTTAGTGTGCCTCCCGTTCAGTTTCCGGAAGCTTCAAATATATGAAATTTAACGACTCGAACATCCCGAAACGGTAAAGCCAGCCAACGGAAGAACGATAACAAAAATAAAAACCGAACAAAGGAGAGGGAAGAATTAGAAAACAAAAGAGAGAGAGAGAGAGGCGTCGATAAAATCTCTACCGCAACCAGGTTCGCCGACGATCAGAGTGACGCGGTTTTCCTGAATTTTCTCGATAATTTTGTCCCTCATTGCCGATATCGGAAGAGAAGCAAAATTCGACGGAGATGACGACGACGATGCAAATGACGACGAGTATGAAGAGCAAGATGATGAAGTGGGGGAGGATGCCATGCCTTCGCACTCGCACGCAATGACCAAACCCTCCGTCGCGCCGGGCCTTTTCTTAGCTATGAAGTAGTATAGGACTACTTTCTACGACTGACAGCATACCAAGTGACCAGGCAGAGATCCCAGTCTTGAGAGAGAACACCGGCTGACGTGTAAAAGGCCGGCCCGCGCCCCCCCCCCCGGCATAGGGGCCCGCTCTACTGCACCAGTCCTCAAGACTCAAGAGTCAAAAAGAAAAAAGAAGGTGACTCGAAACTTCACGCGCTAAGGTCCATTGCCAGTTCGAAAACTCGCGTAGATAGCCCTCCGATTCGAGCGATTTGTACTTGACTATTTGCGACTTGCCTTATCCAACGGTGCTATATTATACACAGGGAACGCGCGGACGCTTGACACAGTTTCTTGGTTTGCAGTGATCCCCGGGACCAGGACGTGGGCCCGGTTATGTACTCCTCTCTTTTCTCTGCTTGTGTGGGCTGTTGGGCTGCTGGAAGTGTGGGTAGCTTGCCACTAAATTTTTTGTGTCCTTTGGTATTTTTTTCCCATCAAGACCATTCTTACCCGTATTACAGACCTGTAATCCAACTTAGCTCACAAGCCCAATGAGTTGAATACTTTTTTTTTTATATATATATATATAACCTAATCTATTCTATTAGAATTTCTATAACCTAATTTATTCTAATTTACAAGAAGTCAAAAAAGGCTTGTGTATAAGAAACTAATATGTATAAGAATCTGAATAAACCAAAGAGGGTGCTCTGGTATCTCTTTTAAATTTTTTTACTACGGGTGGGTTCAAACTCCCAACCTGATTTAATTCCCTTTTAATGGCCACTAAACCAAACCTTAGTAATTAAATAGAGTCAAATACTTGCTATTGAGCCTTTTTTTGTATATTATACAAATAGTTTGAGTTCGATCTAGCATTAAAATGTAGCTGAAATTTGGTTTGTTAACTTGTATAGATATTTGAGTTCATACTTAATTTTGACTTGTTAAACTAAACAAGTAGAATTCAAACTTCAACTTGAACTTTTATTTTTAAAATAATCTAATTATATTTAAAAAAAACATGGCTTGTAATAAAATTAATTATGCTATTTTATTTTAGAAATATAAATAATACCAATTCTCTATAATTACATATGTGTTCACGAACCTTTTTGTGTTCATCAATATTCTTACAAACATATTAAAATTAGTTGTTAGAGATTTTTATGATATTAAAGTTCGCTCTTTGGAGTATTTTGCTTACAAATTTTTTATAATTATTTGTTGTTGATCTTGTTTGATAATGGATTTATAATTGGAAACAACAATTTGGATCTTATGTTAGGTAAAATATATACAATGATATATATTTTTTATGCTATATATGATTTAATCCCTAATAATAAATAGCGATTTTAGTGTTTTTCTTTAACATGTAACTTGATATTAAATTAATTAAATAATGTAGTAGAAGAGGGATAATGATGGAATCATAATTATTTTTCTTTCCTAATATCACTTTTTAATTATTGATTGGATTTAAATATTACAAGATAATTAATTTTAAGGGAGATTAATGTAATTTTTAAAATTTGAAAGGAGGCTGGTGATACACTAGCCTGAAACCTTAGGGAGGTTTCTGAAATTATCTCATATATATTTATTTTGGTGTAGCATAATGAGTTTTTAAAATTTTTTTTTATAGATAAAATGCTTGTGCAAAATGGAGGTATAGATGAAGAACCTGTTTGCAGTATTTAAAATAAAATGTTTTTTTTTTGCCACGTGCAACGAAACTACACCGTACGTCTCCTTATTGTACCGGGCTTCCTTTTGACTATTGCCTCTCTCGCTGAACCCCCAAACCCTAATCCCTAGTTTTCTCATCAGTCGCGAATCTGGTTGTCCTCTGCGCCACCTTCCATCCTCTCCAAGTAATGTTGCTCTGATCTAAGAATTGGTGTTACGAGCTTTTTAGCTTCTTCAATAGTATTAGTTATTCCGGTTTATTGGGTTCTTATAACCAAAAGATCTTTTTCCCCCTTTTTTTTTTGGCGCTATCGCATTTTCTTTTGTCTCTGGTTGTCCTGTTGTTTGTACCTGTGCCTTGCTATCTTGTACGAATACCTAGTATTGCTTTAACTTCCGTAATGCCTGAGATCACTTAATTCGCTTTGGTATGGTCAAACACCTCAGATATTTATAATTTCATTCATAAATTGACTAGAGAAATTTATAATTTTCTTTTTACGTTTTTAATTTGTTATATGCATGTGACCGAGGGCTTTAACTGATTGTTTGATCTGGTTAATTGCTGTAATTTGCCTCTGCGTTTTTTGGCCTTTTTTCTTTTGGACCACCAGTTAATTTCATTAATCACCATTGCCCGATAAAAAGCAAGACCTGCTTCAGGTTTACAAATGTTTTTTTGCTTCTTAGCATTTGTTTGGTTCTCTATTGGGATTGAAATGAAATTCCATGCTGTTGACATTAAGTAGCATTTCTATGGCATATAATTTCATTTATAATTCAGTTTCAATGCTGATAGTCAACTAAACATATACTTGATGTAGTTGATTTCAAAGTTGGTTGCTTTTTTTTTGAGTTTTTAAGTTTTGGATGTGTTAGGAAGAATGAGTCGCTCAAGTAGAACTCTTTACGTTGGTAACCTTCCTGGTGACATTCGCGAGCGTGAAGTGGAAGATTTGTTTTACAAGGTATTTTATTTGTTCTTGCGCTGCTTCTTAAAGTTCTTATACTCTCATTTATTAGAGTTAAAGCTGGTTGCCGTGTCTAAGGAGGTACTAGTGAAGAGAATGTTACTATGAGGTGAACTTCACCATTGCTTTATCATATATGCCTCATTGGGGGAAAAAAAACTGGGTGCAGGTGTCCAGCCTTCATTTGTAAGAGAGTAACATAAAGCCTTTTTTTTGTGGAAAGAAGTCACTTTTCCTTCGCTAGGCCAGTGTTGTTGAATTGTCTTATCCTGTTAAATGGAGCTTTTAAATGCGGTTGCAAGTGGACATTCATGAAACTTAAGGTTACAATGATGTTAAGCAAGATCATAATGGTTCGTGGCAAATCAATAAGAGTAGAAGTTGAGAACTAAAGAGATAAGAGGTGAACCTAGATTTCTAAGCATCAGAATCTGACTTGGAGAATTCTTATTAAGGAGCTGATTTATTATTATGGAAGCCAAAATGAGCATATATGTCTTAAAATACATGCCATATAGTTGAAGAGATTTTAGTCCCGTCCCATAGAGGAAAAGACCTCTTTTTGTTTTTTTTTTTTAATTTTAGTTAATCTTAATTGAGTTACCTGTCATGATTGGTCTCATTTGTTTGGTTTCAACTGCAGTATGGACGAATAGCGCATATTGATTTGAAAGTTCCGCCTAGGCCTCCAGGTTATGCTTTTGTGGAGGTGAGTTTATAGCTGCTTGGCATGCACTGTATTCAATACTCTGCAAGTTTTTGTTAATAATCATCTTTTACTACAGTTTGAGGAGGCCCGTGATGCAGAGGATGCTATCCGTGGTCGTGATGGTTATGATTTTGATGGACATCGTTTGCGGGTTTGTTTTGCATTGTGCATCTGCAATTTGTATTATGCAAAATATGTTCCTATACCAGATGTGATGCTTAAAATACACTTATTCTGATTAATACAGGTGGAACTGGCGCATGGGGGGCGTGGTCATTCATCATCAACTGATCGTTATAGTAACCACAGCAGTGGCCGAGGGCCCCGTGGTGGAGTTTCCAGGCGATCTGACTACAGAGGCATGTATTTGATGGATAATTCTCTATATAACATCTATATATTTTGGTGTTATTGCTAATTGCCTTACACTTCTTTTTCACATCAGTGCTAGTCACTGGATTGCCGCCTTCTGCTTCCTGGCAGGATCTTAAGGTGAGCAGTGGAATCCTTTAGTTTTATCCTTTTGGATACCTAGAATATTCATAGTATTGCAAACAAGTCTTTGTCCTAAGTCTCTTTGTAGACATTTAAGTTTCTTACAGACTAGAATCATCAAATGTAGTATTTAGAATCCACCATGTTTCTCATTTCGAAATTTTTGCTCATGCTTCTATTTCTAGGATCACATGCGTCGAGCTGGGGATGTCTGTTTCTCCCAAGTTTTCCGGGAAGGGAGTGGTAAGCATACAAGGGACTAATCCTCATAGTTTTCTTTTTCTGGTGATATGGGCATAAGTTTTCCACTTTTACCCAAGCTTTTGGGCTGTAACATCATTTCATGTTCATATAATTGAAGAGGCCCTCGAAAGGGTGTGAAGGGGATTATCTGGTTGAGTAGTTTTGGCAGTTATTATGGTGGATATATATGTGGTCTTTCGTTTTAACTGTATGAAACTTGCAGGCACTACAGGAATTGTGGATTATACAAATTATGATGATATGAAATATTCTGTGAGTTATTTTTACATAAAATGCTTAAAGCTGTAGATTGCCTTTGTTTGTTGCCTTCCATTCTATGTGAAGCTACTGGAGAATGCCTGATCTCTGTGTAATGCACACGTTTCTAATATATGCAGATCAGGAAGCTTGATGAGTCTGAATTCCGGAATTCCTTTTCTCGTGCAACAATACGTGTAGGATGCAAAGATTGTTTTAACCTTTCATACTATTGTCACGTAGCTGTATATACATCCTTGGCTATTTCATCCTCCTGCAGGTGAAGGAATATGATTCTAGCCGCTCTAGGAGCCGCAGCCGTTCTTACTCGAGAGGAAAGAGTGGTAGCCGCAGCCCGAGTAACAGTCGGAGTAGGAGCATGAGGTTGGATACTTGCTGTTTTTTGGTCAGCATGTAGTTTTTGTAGCATCATGTAGTTTCCTTATATGTGTGTGAACTTGTTCAATCCCCATGCAGCAAGTCTCCTAAAGCTAAATCTTCTGGCCGTTCAAGATCCCGCTCGAGGTCTGCATCTTCACGGTCTCCCTCTAAGTCTAGAGCAAAATCTCTTTCAAGGTAAGGATCATTTGGTGGTTTTTCATACTTTGAATGTATGCTCAAGGTTATAGTGTATTGTGAATAAGGACTACTTCTTTCATCTCATATTAACTGATATTAGTTTTCCTTGTGATTCAATATTATGATAAAATGCTAGCAAAGAAAGAACCAAAAGAGTGCTGTGGACATCATCTAGTTTTGGTGAATTTGTTGCATGAAAGATGAATTTTAATCAGCCTTTCAGAAATATATCTTCTGTTCTGCCTTTATAACAGGCTATATATTCATGCACATGCATGGTATTATCATGGAGAAATGTCTGGCTTGGACCGACTACAACCTTATTAAAAAAGCGTTGGTTCTGGTATTTGTGCAATTGACAATTTTTCTGACTTGCTGAATTATACTTCTGGTGTTCTTATTTTGTTGATGCTTGATACCTATTATCTTCTTGTTCTTTTTGGTTTCCATAATTTAATTGCTTGGGTGTTGCCTTGTTAATGGTTGGCATTCTTCAAGAGGCTCCCTTGAATATATGGGTTGGGTTCTCTCCTTTAGCATTCGTCTGTTTGTGATTTGACAGTTGTGCTGGATTTTGCCTTTATGCATTTCATTGGCATGATTTATCACAACAAATGATTCTTCAAGGCCGACATTCTTTTTCATTATGTAACCTGGTTCTGGACATCAAATGGTGAGCCACTTTGAGTTGGAGAATTAAAGTCTTCTACCGAGCTATTTATTCCTCATAAACAGTTGGGTATGTTATACTGGTATCTTACACTGGCATAATATACTCGTAGAAGGTGGTATAGTCGTTGGGGTGTTTTCTTTTACAGGCTGGTTTCTTTATTTTGTGGAATTTCTCAACTTAATTGCTATGGACATGACTCAGTAGTCCATTAATTTTAAATTGCCTAGTCAAGACTGATATATCTGTGTCAATCTGCAACTTCTGATTATTGATTTGAGGAATATCTTCTTTGCTACCCCGCCATTTTTTATGTAAGAGTTGAGGCACCCGCCCTTTGGGTTCTTTCATTCCGGCAAGCCTGCTTTTCCTTGGTGATCATTCAACAGTTTACTGCCATGATGCTCGTCCCTTTCTTCACCCTCTTTTTCTGTTTCTGTCACCTACACTTATGTTTTCATAGGAGTTTAGTCTTTTTTTTTTTTAAAGGACGCCTTGTAGGAGTGTCTTCAATTGTTTACTTTATTTTTCAGACATGGAATCACCTTCTCTGTTTTTCTAGATATGGATATATGCAGCGATCTGGGGATTGCATAATATGATCTTGATGGGATATGGTTCAGTTGCCTACAACTCTTTTGGTTGTGGAGGTATGATGTCTTTTAGATGGCAGCTTTGGAATCCTTCATGGTGACTGTTCTAATAAGCATCGTAAATGTCCATCGGTGCTAGATATGGGAACAAGAAGATCATGGATTTTGATGGTGAAGCGGGACTATGAACTAATTGGCATATGAATTTTGGGACCGCCATCTATGTGTGGTAGAAACGTTTTAACTGTCTCCAAAGCTTCCGTGCTAATTAAAGCATACTCTCTGACTTCCATAGTATGATTCTGGTTATTCGTGTTTTTAAGGAGCTTTGTTGGCTTTTTGAAGGTTCTTATCCTAACTTAATTGGGCCATTTATTTAGGCTGAATATGATGCTTTTCCCTTGTGTACTGCTAAATGTTTGTGAATATCCTCTTTTCTATTTTGATTGTGGTAAACTCTGACGTGGAATGGCATACAAGGCTCTTGGATCAGAGTTGTTAAGAGGAACATGTGGATATTAAATTGGGTTGTTTCTGGAACTTTTGCAGATCTCCATCAAGATCCAGATCCCCCTCACCATCTGTGAGTAGATCTTCTGTGCAAATAACTTTTGAAACTTGGATTCATGTTTTCGTTGTTGAGCTTTTTATTTACCTTTATGGTCCTGTAGAATGTGGATTTCCTTGTAATTTGAATATTTGTGTTGTGTTGCTGTTTCATTTTGTTGGATGACTTTAGCGCCAGAAACGTGCTAACAAAAGCCCAAAAAGGCGCAGCCCGAGTAAGAGTGAAAGCAGGAGTAGGAGCCGTACTCGTAGTAGGAGCAAAACTCCATCAAGGTAGTTCTTGTTTGGAACCACACTGTTTAAAGAATTGATAATCTGTGGCCTTTTTCTTTCTTCTTGATGTATCTGACTGTTTGAAGCGTTCAACAGGTGAGCTATGGTATTCGCTGGTTTTTGCTGCGCCCTAGATCTGCAGATAAGGTGCTCTCTGCTGGATTAGATGCGTATTAGGATCTGCAGTTGGTTGTCAGTCGTGGTTAACAGAGTTATTGATGTATGAGGAACCATTTTATTTTGTGTTTTCTTGTATGGGCATGTTGCGGGACATTTGATCGCGAGAATGGTGGAATGTTGAATTTGGCATTTTGTCCAGATGTAATCATGAATTAATATTTCGTGGAGGGCCTGCTGATGGCTTGGTCCTCGATTAACTATAACATTTCCTTGTGGCGCTACAGATCCTCCGAGTGGTTCCTTTAATTGCTGTCTATATTGGGCCAGATAAATCTGATTACACGAGATTATTATTCTTTAGCAGTAGCACCAACCTAGAATAACCAATCTTCTAGTTTGGTCAGTCAATTTGACTCCCTCCATAGCCTATGCACGCAGCCAGCACTGTTACTGGTACTCCTCGTACGTGCAGTTCATTTGTTGATTTGCAGCAAAGCAACGCGTCGTTCCTTTCAATATGCTGGATGTAGGATGTCGAAATATGTCAGTGCTGGTATAGGTTTTTTTTTTATTTATTTACTGGGTGCCTGCTGGGAAGTGTCCCAAGGTAATCAGTAGTCGCATTGATTTGCCTATAGGATGGGCAAATTTTGTTTGAACTTTTTATTTGATCTGCACAGTGAAAGGTCTTCTTGTCAACAGCGCAGAATGTGCATGTGCCACAGCGACAAGGAATGCCCAAAGCAACCTAGGAATTGGCGTCCTCAAAATGTGTGGCGTATGTTAGTTTGAGCATCGACAATTCCGTTCTTCAATGGAGAGGAAACGTCCTGCGTTAACGCAGATTGGGCCGCACCATCCAGATAAGGAAAGCCGGCCGCTTCAGGCAGGGTTGCCTTTCTGCAAGTTGCATGAAATGATTCGTTATCTTCTCGAGCTACCAGATGTGCAGTCTACACACTGTTTCATTAATTAATCAAAAGAAAAGGATGAGTTATAGAATTGTTATTTACTGCATTACCTTTTTTTATGTTGTAACATATGCAAAGGTAATTAAAGGACGTGTTCAGATATACTTTAATTATATTAGCAAGTTTTTCTGTTAGAGATACAGAGGAAGAATGTTGACGCATTCTCCAGGAGTTGAACTAACCAAATTTGTCGGCATTACCGGCTAGAACGGCCGTTATTTGGCAGTAAATATTTTTAAACGTGGTTATCATTCAAAGGAAAAAAAAAAAAAAAAGAAGCAATTTGGACAGCAACTGCTTCAATTTGCCACTTGCTAAAATAGTGTAGTTATAATAAAAAGCCCAGCCCATTGTTTATGGCCACTATGGCCATATACGTATGTATGTGTACGTATGTGGCGAAGGAAAGATACAGCAGAGTTCGCACTTGACAGTTGAGATCGCAATTAGAAGTATTTATTAGGATAGGATACGAGGTAATGTATGCTGGGGACTCAGCACAATTTGTGCACCGCCCGGCGCCTGCTTCCTTCTTGGCTTTATCCGCTGAAGTCAGTGAAGGGTCTTTGAATCCCGAGACTGCCTCCCGTCTCCTTTCACGTTTCAACCACTCAGTCATTAAATTCGCCCACCACCACCACCACCACCACCACCTCTCTTTCCCTCGGCTTCTGCCCATCTCTCTCCGCCACCCCCATCCGATATAAAGATAAAAGAGGGTAAAAAGACCAACAATCCGTCCTATCTCTCTCTCTCTTCTGGTGTCCCACACATGGGATACGTAATCTCGTCTGTTGGCTCAGCAGTCCATCGCATTGGAACCTCTTCATAAACACTAGAAGACACCCTCTCGCCTCTTCCCAATTCCATATCCAACTCCTGCCTGATTTTCTTTTCTCCCAGAATCGGAATCGGAGAACCCCGGCTGAGCTACTGTTATCCATTTGTTGGTGAACCGTACACCATGTCTGAAAGCGGCTTCTCGAGGCTCTCAGATGACGTTGTTCTCAACATATTCTTCAAACTTGAAGACGATCCTCGGAACTGGGCCCGCCTCGCCTGCGTCTCCACTAAATTCTCGTCTCTGATCCGAAACGTGTGCTGTAAATCTAAGTGCTCTCAGACCATCCCCTCCGTTGTCAACGATCTTCTGTCCACCTCTGCTTCCCCCTCCGCCGTCCCTCCTGGCGGCTGGGCCTCCCTTTACAAGCTAGCAGTCTGCTGCCCGGGTCTCCTCCAAGCTGGCGTCCTCTTGGAAAATTCTGATTTCGGGCTCGAACGTGAGCTCGGGCCAGACGAGAATTACCAGGTCTCTGCGATCTTCCGATCAGCTGCTCCCTGCTCGAGCAACAGGGATGTTAATTCCGATGTAACTGCTTCTGGGCCGGATTGTTCTTGGTCTTTGTTTGATGATCTTCTGTTTGATACTGTTTATGATGCTTCTGAATCCTCCGAAGAACGGCCCGAACTGCCTGTGGAGCCCGAGAGAGGGGTGGTGAAACCTTCGTGTAACTTTCGTGGTCGTAAGAGGAGGAAAATCTGTAGATCTCTTATGTCTCATTTGGCTCAGGGGGTCTGGAACTTGAGCCGCGAGCAGGGGAATAAATTGCTTGCAAGTAGATTCAAAGGGGATTGCTTGTATATTTGTGATTGGCCCGGTTGCGTCCACATCGAAGAGAAGCGTAACTATATGCTTTTTCGAGGGATTTTCAAGAACTTCAAGCAGTCGAGGGTTTGGAGGACGATAAATGATGGCCACAGGAGCAAGATTGAGCTGCATTGCGCTTTCTGCTCTTGTAAACAGACGTGGGATCTGCATTCTGCGTTTTGTTTGCGGAGGTATTTTGGCTATCACGACGACGGCGAGCCAGTTGTTCGAGCTTATGTGTGTGAGAATGGTCATGTTTCTGGGGCGTGGACTGATTGGCCACTTTATACTTGAAATTTAGTACCCCTTGATTGGTAATGGAATTATTCTCTTGGGAAGGCTTGAATTTATTGCTTTGATTACTTTTTTTTTTTTTACTCAAGTAGGGAAAGGATTAGATTCAAGAAGCTGTCAGGACCTCTAGTTTCTGAGTCTTCAGCCTTTGACACTAGAAGTTGCGTTCTAGTGTTTGTTGTATTATAAGAATAGTTTGATTCCAAAGCATGGTGTCATCTTGCTACTACATCTTCTATTTTGTTGTTGATGTTACTTTATATGATCTTTTATTTCCTTGTTGGCTGAAATCTGTCTAAACGATCTATAGATTTTCCTTCTACTCAAGCTTAAGAGGTGAGATGTTACTAGGAGAATTTTCTCTCTCCTTACCACGTTGTTGGTAACTCTTGAGCTGTGGTGATGTTAGGAAAAACGATTCATCACCTAGTTCCTTTGTTTCTCCTTTGATGTACAAATTTCTACTCCTTTCTTGACCTGATAGTCCCCTCGATAGTGCTGAGAGTATTGATTGGATTGCATATTGGAACCTTCATGTGGTCACTCCTGAGGGGTTAGCTATGCTTTTGAATATAAGAGGAGAATCACCTGGTAATACAGGTAAACTTGATGGTATTATGATAGGAGAAATCACATGGTAATGTAGGTGCAAATTTTGGTATTTGAGATTCTTTGCATGCTTCATTAGGAGCAACGGGTTCAGTTTCGTGTTTGCTTACCCTGCTGATTTTTGTTATTATTTTTTGGATGGAGTGAATTACATTTGCTTTTTTTTTTTTTTGTTGCAATAATAATATTTGTATAACCTATTTTAGCCTAATCTAAGATGAGGGGAAGCTGATGAGAAAATCTTGTGAGAGGAAGTCACAATTAAATGGCAAGGTGGGAAGCAAGGATTGAACCCTTGATCTTCCACCCTACCGGGATTTAAATTTCTTGGTGGTAGAGGCTGTTGCTTGGAGTGAATTACATTGTGCTCGACCTACTTTAGAATCAGCCACTTTGCAAATTACAAGTGAACCCCCTTGAAAATGTGTTTTGGTAAGAGATGTTTTAGGTGTTAATTTGCAGCAAAAGTGAAATTAATTTAAGAAAACGTCTAAATATAGGAGTGCATTAAACGTGAGTGTGCGCGCACTGATAAGGGTCATCCCATCCTTTGGGAAAAAAAAAAGGGCACATCATCAAGTTAGACAATCAAGCATACTTGCTTGTATGTGTCATTATTATTTCTTCTAAATTTATACGGCTGAGTAGTATACGTGGTTTCTTAGGCCTTGTTTGGATCGTGATTTTCCGTCGAAAATTTATATCATTTTTCGTGATCATATTTTCCTATTACTTTTTTTCTTTACATACATCAAATCGTTATATTTTTTCAGGAAAAATCATGAAAAATACAATCCAAACATAACCTTATAAATTCATATGGGTGCATAATGCACTCATCGATGTTAATTCAATTTTCATCGATTTTTTTAAGTTCCATTGAGCGCCTTGCAGTGTAGGCAAGAATAGGAATAGAGTAGATTAACTGTGGCTGTCTGATAAAAGAATAATAAAAAAAAAGTATACCTGCCCTGTCCATTCAAGGGGACTTTTCTATTTTAACTAATTTTATGTTAGACATGAGTCAAACAGTAGTAGTGATGGACAATTATTTTGGGATACGTGCGTTCGTTGAGTTAGTCCCGGTCCTGATTTGTAGAAGAAATCTATTTGATGTTTCTGCCTGTATTTATTTAGTATCCATAAAATCCCCAAATGCACGAACACCAGTTTTAGTTTCATTTTGTTGTTGCTGGATAGAATGGCGCAAATTCAACTATTCATCTCCCTCCAAAAAACCAATTCCATGTCAAGTGTGTTTGTTTTACCTAAGTGTTACTGGAGGCTATGAAGAGATGGACCTAAAAGTTTTTGTCCTTGTCGCCCCGAGTAACTGTTCTGGGCGCTTTGTGTTATGGCTGATAGGCCTAAGAATGATGAGAATTTTTTGTTCGTGTTCTTACTTTAGACAAGACGGCAAGAGAATATAGGAAGCCTCTCTTAGTGAACGGGCTTCATCAGCAATTTAGTCATCAAACTTTTTATTTGGAAAAAAAGTTTTGGCTGGGATAGTTTTTTCTTTTTAACAAAAAAAAATCTTTAGTTACATCATAAACATGCTTTTCATTAATTTTTTTTTTCAATTAAGTTTTTTATCTCACATGTGTCATATGACAAAATTTTTGGATCTAATTCTTATCTAAAAAATTATAAAATTAGTACTTCACATATTGGTTTTATACCTTTTACATCTATCACATATGAAAGGACGATTTTTCATCATCGCATAGTGGTTTTATATATTTTATTTATTATCTTTTA